AAGATCTTAAAATATTTAAATCCTACAATAAAGTAATTCCCTTTATAAGTACTAATCTAAGGAACTTCATTCATTCAACCAATATTTTACTGATTATCCTGTTCTAGATACTAAAATATGGGCCACATATTTAAGTATAAGTGATTAGTAATAATTGTGGAAAAGTGAAAACAAAATAACTGTCCAATAATAGGGAAAAAATTGAATCACTTGTCTCCATAAAATAGAATTTTTTCAGCTATCAAATATTATGATTATAAATTATTTTTGATGAATGGTAAGTAGATTTTCTAACTTGAGAAGAAAATTTTGATTCAGCACAGCATTTAGATATTGACTGTCAGAAGAAACAATAGCTAATGTCTGGAAGCATTTTGTCAACAATCTCTCATTGAAGTAATAGATTTGAAATATATATGCAACATGAAAATAACAAACAAAAGTAAAAATATGTATGTAACATGAAAGACAAAAAGGCTCTCCATTTGTCCTGCAATCTGGGTAAGGGCTGCAGTAAAAGGGGCCGTTAAACTTACTGAACTTCAGTTCTCACCTTCCCCAGTTTAATCTCACACACACACCCACCAGGGAAGTTTAGGAGAGATTATTTTTAAAAGACCTGGGGGAAAGACTTTCAAATTTCCAGAAATCCATCAATTTTAAGGGACCAAGTATTTGTAACTATTCTGATAAGAAGAAAATACTTTTCTTCAATTGTCAGAACTGTCCAATTTCCTTAGATGAAGAAGTCCATGTTACTGTGATTACCATGGGTAAGGTTAAAATGGAAGAGTATCTGAAGAGACAGTATTCTCCACTGGCAACCATGGCTCCAGCTGAAAGATGCAAGAAGCAGTCGTCTCACAGTAAAAGCAACCGTTTGAGACACAGAGAGAAGTGACACACTTGGTTGGAACATGGAAGGATCACTCTGTCATTGTACCTGGCAAATTCTGAGCAGTTTTGAGCACAGAGACAGTTACAAATCAGAGTATTTCCTTTTGATGTGCAACACCCGAAGACTGTCTATATGGAGACATTGCCTCATTCTTCCTAGAATCCTTAGAAATGTAGAAAGGAAATAGTTTATAAGACAAATACAAAATGGTCAACTCAAGACTTATTTTAATTGTATATTCAATAAGAAAGGGGGCTTGTGTGATATTCATAGTCAGCATTTTATTATTTCATGGAGGAAAGGCTCAGCATGGTATTTAAGTTTCTCTTTCTAAATTGTCTCATTTTTCTTTTTTCATTTCTTTAGAGCAATTTTTCAGATAGAAAGAATGAAATATTTGATTATATATTCCAAAAAATATAAAGAATTAATAATAAAATCACTGTAGAATAATTTTTAAGATTAAAAATTAGGGTGAGACAGGGAGGCTATCATATGATACAGTTAATCTTGGCACTTACAGATTCCTCAAGGTCTAGCTTGGGTGGTGGCGGCTGTACGTAGGAGAGAAGGTCAGCTGGATCCTTGGGTTCTCATATAAGGAAGGTAAGGAGAGCACAGGAAGCCTCCCTGGAATGTATAGATGTCCCTGGGGTCTCACAGTAGATTATCATTGGCTCCTCTGACAGGCACTGGCTATATGTCTGGAGAGAGGCAGATATAATAGTAGATGGTGACTAGGATAACTCTACTACCATTGGTAGAAATAAAGACAGAAAATTAAGGAGAAAATTAGTTTCAGGAGAACGATGATCATCTTGTATTATACTAAACAGGTTGACTTTCAGGGGCTCAGTGGGCCATCCAAGAAGGAGAAGCAAAGCAGAAGCTTAGGAGAGAGAAAGTATTAGAGAAAGCTATGACAATAAATAAAATGTTTAAAGGGAGGGAGCGTGTTCTAACAAAAGGCCTGAACACAAATAGGAAAATTAAAGGGAGAAAAAAAAGAAAGGTAAGAAAGATGAGAATTGAACTTTGAGATAGGTCTGCATTTGTGTAGAAGGAAGAGGAGGTGGAACCAAGGAGACAGAAAAGAAGAACTAGAGAGTTAAGAGGAATATCAGTGCCCTAGAGTTTAGGGAAATTTTAGGAGGAAGGAGGAAGATGTTCCTTGAACCAGTGATGTGGAGAGATAAAGTGTAACCCCTGGAGCAGCATTTGGGAGGCAAGTTGATGTTTTACAGAGAACATTGTCAGTAGCCAGGTGGGAGCAGAACCAGAAGAGATGGGGCACGGGGAGAGAGAGGAGAGGAAATGGGTTTGTGAATGTAGACTATTTTCATTTACGTTTTTGACACATTTGATACTCAAAGGAAGGTGAGAGAAAGGACAGTAACTTAAATCAGGAGATCGATGACTGATAATTTAATAACAATAAAGATGATCATGATTATTTAATTGACTGTAGTCCTGGAGCAAGTGAGAGGTGTTGATTTAAGGAGTTCAGATGGAGGTATTAGCCCTGGAGAACTGTGTCTCTTCTTCCCCTGAGAGGAGAATAGTAAGGCAGTATGTGCCCAAGCACATCACTTAATTACTTCTCTAACAGAAAGATTTCGAGTGCCTATAATATGTTACCAAGATCCTTTGGAAAATACAATGATGAACAAGACTCAGATAAGGTTCTTGAAATACTTTTATATGAAAGATAAGACAAGTAGACTTAACTGTAGAAACTGAGGACACAAGTTACTGCATTAAATATAAATTTCTCTGTACCTCGGTTTCTTCCTCCATAAAGTGGGGACAATGATAGTACCAGCTGCATTGATTAGTTGTGAGTTTTGAATGGGATGCTATATAGAAAGTGCTTAATAAAGGGCCTGGAATAATGAAGTGCTAAATAAAAGTGACTCTTGCTGTCCACGTTATATAAAGTAGAAATGATAAGTGCCAAAATGGAACTAACTATAGGAGGTGAAAGAAGATATATTGTTTTGTTGGGGCAGTAAAGGAAAATAAGGGGCCAAGTTCATTCACTTAGGAAGGGGTGGAATTTAAGAACTGAGAAGAAAGAGAAATTTTGGAAGGGAAAATGTGGAAGAGGGAAAGAGTTCGAAGTTTTAATAGCATAAAGTCAAAACTCAGGAAGATTTTAAGACATCATTAAAATAGGCACTCAGTTAAAAACTGTGCCTAGTTTAAAAAATCTGTTTCAAGCATCCCAGTTTATTTCTAGCTTCTATTTCCTAATGTGCTAACAAAATTATTTGGTCTAGTAGAGAAATCCAGCTTATGAATCAAATACTATTTACTCTCCTTCAGCTTATGTTCTCATTTTCTTTTTTATCCAAGATAGATTTAATGATCCATCCTCCACCAAAATCATCAACACCTGTGTCCTCTCCCTGAATTATACTTTCCTGAAAAAATCCTAACATTTATGATGGAACCTTACTATTTTCTTACTTTGTGTCTTTTGGATGGCTCTTCTTTATGGGGAAAAATTCTTTAATGCTAGATTGGTCCGTGTAAGGCTGCTACCAGTTGTGCAAGGCATAGGGGACAAACACCACAAAGTCACACAGTATGAGTTAAGGAAACATGTCATCTTTATTTTTTGTTATTTCTTTACTATTCCTTCTTTCTCTAATTCTAATTTGCTGCCTTTGTCAATTGAATGTTTAGTTAATATATTTTCAGTCATTTTTACTTTTCCTTTTAATACAGTGAAATAGTTGTTTCAGTTGTTTTTAATGCCTTTTCTCTATGCTCTATTTTTAAATTAACATACACAGAAATTTGTGAAAATCATCATAGCTTGATAAATTATCACCATTAGCTATTCTGATGGGTATGTAACCAGTATACACGTCCACAATAGATTAACTTTACTCCAGAGATGCTCATATCCCCTCCCCACAACCTTTTTCTCAAACGTAACGACTACTCTTGACTTCGAACATAGATTACTTTGCCTCCTTTTCATCTTAATATAAATGGAATTATGGAATAGGCATTCTTTTGAGTCTGAATAATTTTGCTCAATATTATCTTTATAAAATCTGTTGTATTTTTATGTAGATTTTGTTTACCTTCATTGCCGTATGGTATTCCATCGTATGGATACACGACAATGTACTTATTCATTCTACCGTTGATGAACATTTGGGTTGTTTGTTTACCGCATTTGGCTACTGGAAACAAAGCTACTTTGAACATTCCTGGGCATGACTTTCAGGACACAGCCATACACATTTCCTAGGCATGTGGAACAGTGCAGTTGATAAAAGATACTGTCCACATGGTTTTCCAAAGTGATTGTTGTGCTTCACATTCTCTCTAGTACTATGAAAATTCCTATTGTTCCACATCTATACCATCACTCATATTGTCAACCCTATAAAATTTTAGCCTCTCTTTGTATAGTAATATGTCATTGTGGTATTTAATTTGTAGTTCCCTAATAACTTTTCCCAAACATTAATTTTCAATACCTTGGTATTTTTTTCTTTTAGATTTCATTTTAAAGACTGCCCTGAAGTCCTATTCTGCTATATTTGGGTCACCCACCCAGGTCTGAGTAATTCAATAAACCTCAAGAGAACAGAGGCAGGCAGCAACTGAGAAACATAACAGAGTTGCAAGCACAGACACCATCAGTCCCTGGGTAAAGCTGCTGCCCAGAGTGGAGTCTCCCTGGTGCACCAACAAGCCTAAGAAAGATTATCATCCCATTTGCAAAAACATTGGCTGGTAGATCCTGCTACCTCATACATACAACCACCCAATTTTTTACAAGTAGCATTTTCCTACACCCTCAACCATCTAGAACATACCTAAACACTGGGAGTTTGCTGCTTATTAAATTGAACTATGAAGTCTAAGGCCAACTGTGCCCAGAATCCAAACTGTAGCATAATGATATTCCATCCAACCAAAGAAGAGTTTAACGATTTTGATAAATACATTGCTTATATGGAATCCCAAGGTGCACACCGAGCTGGCCTAGCCAAGGTAATTCCTCCCAAGGAGTGGAAAGCCAGACAGACCTATGATGACATCAATGACATCTTAATAGCCACTCCCCTCCAGCAGGTGGCCTCTGGGCAGGCAGGGGTGTTTACTCAATACCATAAAAAGAAGAAAGCCATGACCCTTCGGGAGTATCACCATTTGGCAAACAGTGAAAAATATCGGGCTCCACCACACCGGAATTTTGAAGATTTGGAGAGAAAATATTGGAAGAATCGCATCTATGATTCACCAATTTATGGTGCTGATGTCAGTGGCTCCTTGTTTGATGAAAACACTAAACAGTGGAACCTTGGGCACCTGGGAACGATTCAGGACCTATTGGAGCAGGAATGTGGAGTTGTCATCGAAGGCGTCAACACTCCCTACCTGTACTTTGGGATGTGGAAGACCACCTTTGCTTGGCACACAGAGGACATGGACCTTTACAGCATCAACTACCTGCACTTCGGGGAGCCCAAAACTTGGTACGCGGTGCCCCCAGAACACGGCCAGCGCTTGGAACGCCTGGCCCGGGTGCTTTTTCCGGGCAGTTCCCGGGGCTGTGAGGCCTTCCTGAGGCACAAGGTGGCCCTCATCTCTCCCACTGTCCTCAAGGACAATGGGATTCCCTTCAGTCGCATGACTCAGGAGGCTGGAGAGTTCATGGTGACCTTTCCCTATGGCTACCACTCTGGCTTCAACCATGGCTTCAACTGCGCGGAGGCCATCAATTTCGCGACCCCGAGATGGATCGATTATGGCAAAGTGGCTTCTCAGTGCAGCTGCGGGGAGGCCAGGGTGACCTTTTCCATGGATGCTTTCGTGCGCATCCTGCAACCCGAGCGCTATGAGCTGTGGAAACGCGGGGAAGATCGAATGGTTGTGGACCACAGGGAGTCCAGGGCACCAGCCAGCCAGGAGCTGACCATCTGGAGGGAGGTCCAATCGCCCAGGAAAGCCAGGCTAGGTCTGAGGCACCTCCCACCCCGCCGGGCCCTGCATCCCCCTCGGCCTGTGGCTGCCAGTGGTCGTACCCGCAGCCGCGCCCCTGTGCACTCTTCTCCCCTTCGGGGATCTGTGGCCAGTAGCACTGCTACTCAGCGTGGGGCCACGGCCATACGCAGTTCCCGGCAACGCATAACAACCCCACCGCCCACCCTGGGTGTGTCGGCACAAATTCTCCACCCACCAAAGGGCAGAAATGGTCGCGGTCGTCGTCATCAGGACCTGCGTGCTCAGGTGCCAACTCTCCATGCTCCGGCTAAGAGGCGCTTGGTGGACACAGCGTGCACAGTTCTGGGGCCTAAGGCTCAGCCCTAGCCTGAGGATGGTGCATTGATAGAAAAGCCTGTACCACTGAGTCCCTGAACCCCAGGATCCTCCCAATCCTCCCAAAGTTCCAGGGTGCTGCTGGGCCCCTGTCCTCTAAGCCCACGGATTGCCTTTATTCCTCACTGCTCTACTGTGTAGTAGGAGGCTTGCTGAGACTGGTCACATTTACATCTCAAAGCTTTGGCCGAGTTTGCAGGACACTGGTCATGCATGAGAGAGCCCATACGGTGATTCCATTGAATGCTGCTGAATTTGTGGTAGTTGACAAATTAGCTATACTTTGTTCTTCCTCCCAGACCTTGGAATGTCTTTGGACACTGGTAACTTCTGGGTCTCTAGCTGAGGTTTCATCCACTGGACAAACTTGTGTCTTTATGAGAACTAGGTACTGCTGAGATTGCCAGAACCTGATCTATGCCAAGCTCCCATCCTCTGGGCCAACTGTGGTGGTTGCTGAACTTTTGAAGAATCCTGGATTCGTTCCCCTTCAGTCTCCCTCCCTTGTCTTTTTCCCTCCCTCTCCCCCATTTCATGAACAAGTTTTACCTTTTTACAGATGAGGTCAGTAGAACCCCAGAATAAAATATATGACTTTCTTGAGTTATTCATATATTTATAATGTGTTGTCACCACTATTTGTTCACAAATATATTAAAGGTAACCAAAATGTAAAATGTAACTTTATTTTAATATTATGGTTTCAGACATGAGGGGGTAGAGGTTATTCTTTATGTATTTTTCTTCATAATTATTTGACGACATTCAAGGCAAAGCTTATTCTATGGCTGGTTACATTGTGTAGTGGTGGCAAATGAGCTCAGGGGATGGTGGTTGGGTTCTGGCTGGCTGGCTGGGTGGGGGATTTGGTTGGGTTGCAGTCACGCTTTGAGTATGACTTTATAGATGCAGCCTGATACTCAGCTGGGTAGTAGGACTCAGGTTACTGGGAGAGATGAGCAAGGAGAGGAAAAAAGTGTCATCATCTGAATATCTTCTCTCCAAGTCTCCACTGCCTGTTCAAAGCTGGATGTATATTTCACATTGTTCATTCATTGATTCATCCCAGTCAACAAGTTCACAAATAAGTGAATAAGATAATTTCAATCAGTAATGTGTGCTGTGGAGACACTAAAGCAAGACTGAACCATAGAGCAAAATGGGCAAGTACTGGTCGAGGTCATTGGTCTGGAAGGCTTCGCAGAGCAGGAGACCTTTCTGAAACCCAGGTGACAAAATGGGAAGGTCCAGAGTGGAGTTTTCCATTGCAGGAAACAGCAAGTACAATAGACCTAACATGGAACTTGGTGATTTTATTTTTCCAGGAATAAAAAAGGCAGCTTATTTTTGGGGGAGCGTAGAGAGGAAGAAGAAGAGAGGCAAAGGTCAGAGCATGTAGGGCCTTGTATTTCATGTTAAGTACATTATTTGACATTTCTTCAAGTTGAAATGAGACAGCATTGCAGGTTTAAAACAGCAGTTGACATAATGTGATTTACACATTTAAATAATCAATTTAGTTATTCTGTGGAGACTGTGAGATCAAAGAAGCAGTTAGATCAAGTGATACAAGTTAGTTACGGTTACTTAGACTTCTGTGTCTGTACTGAAAATTCGCACAAGTGAACTTGGCCTTTATTATGGCCTTTATTATATATGGCCTTTATTATGTTGAGATACATTCTTTCTGTACCTGATATGTTGAGAGTTTTTAATCAAAAAAGGATGTTGAATTTTGTCAAATGCTTTTTCCGAATCTATTGAGATGATCACATGATATTTATACTTCATCGTGTTAACATGGTATATCACATTTATTGATTTGCATATGTTGATCCTTTTACTGTTCCATGAAATACAATTTGCTATTATTGCATCAATATTCATCAGAAATATTGGCCTGTAACTTTCTTTTGTAGTGTCTTTGGCTTTGGTATCATGGTAATACTGGCCTTGTAACACGAGTTTGGAATTGTTCTCTTTAATTTTTGGGAAGAGCTTGAGAAAGATTGTCCTTTATTGTTCTTTAAAACTTTGGTAGAAATCACCAGTGAAGACATCAGGTAATAAGCTTTTCTATGATGGGAGGCTTTTTATTACTGATTCAATCTGCTTACTAGTTATTGGTCTATTGACATATTCTATGTCTTCATGATTCAGTGTTGGTAGGTTGAATATTTCTAGAAATTTATATATTTCTTCTAGGTTATCTAATTTGTGTATAATTGTTCATGGTAGTGTGATCCTTTGTATTTCTGTGGTATCAGTTGTAAAGTCTCCTCTTTTATTTGTAATTTCATTTTGAGTCCTCTTTTATTTTTAGTCTAGCTAAAGGTTTTCAATTTTTTGGTCTTTTTAAAAAAAACAACTCAATTTCATTGATGTTTTCTATTGATTTTCTAGTCTTTATTTCATTTATTTCTACTCTGATCTTTATTATTTTTTTATCTGGTGACTTTGGGCTTAGTTATTTTTTTCTAGTTCCTTGAGATATGAAGTAAGTTGTTGGAGATTTTTTTTTAACTTAATGTAGGAGTTTATCAACATACACTTCTCTCTTAGAACTGCTTTTGCTGCATACCATAAGTTCTGTATGTTGTGTGTTATTTTTCATTTGTCTCAAGATATTTTTCAATTTTGATTTCTTCTTTGACCCATTCATTGTTCAAGACTGTGTTGTTTAATTTCCACATATTTCTGAATTTTCTTCCTGTTATTTCTAATTTTATATCATTGTCGTCGGAAAAGATGCTTCACATGATTTTGATCTTCTTAAATTTGTTAAGACTTGTCATGTGGGCCTAAAATATGCTCTATCCTGGAGAAAGTGCCATGTTGTTGGATGCAATGTTCTGTAAATGTAGTCAGGTTTATTTGGACTATGATGTTGTTCAAGTCCTCTGTTTATTGATTTTCTGTCTAGATGATCTATCCTTTGTTGAAATTGGGGTATTGAACCCCCTTACTACTTTTGTATTGCTGTATATATCTTCCTTAGTTCTGTTGATATGTGCTTTATATATTTAGGTGCTCTGATGGGTGCACATATATTTATAATTATTATATGTTCTTGATGAATTGACCACATTATCATTATATAATGACTTTCTTTGTCTCTTGTGATTGATAGTTTTTGACTTAAGTTTTATTCTGTCTGATTTAAGTATGGCTACCCCTGCTGTCTTTTGGTTATCATTTGCATGGAATATCTCCTTTTCATCTTTGCACTTTCAGCCTACGTATATCCTTAAAGGTAAAATGAGTCTATTGTAGGCAACATATAAATGGATCTCTTTTTTTAAAAAAAAATCTATTTAGCCACTCAATGTCTATTGATTGGAGAATTTAATCCATTTACATTTAATAATATATGGCAAATCTATAGCTAACACCATACTCAATGGTAGAAAACTAAAAGATTGTCCTATATGTCAGAAGAACGGGCTCCACTTGTACTCGCCATCAAATTGGTACTAACTGATGAACACTAGGGTGCTTATATAGCACTAATACTCTCCAGGGATTAGGGGGATAGGGGAATAAACCTGCAACTAAAGGACATGGAGAGCATTGTAGAGGGGAAGGGCAAGCCTCTAACCCTTGCTTGGGTGAGGCAAAGACATAAAATGTAACCATAATGTTTGTACTCTCATAATACCCTGAAATTAAAAAAAAAGAAAAAAAAAGATTTTCCTATAAGATAATGAGCAAGACAAGATGCCCACTGTCACCACTTCTTAGTTAGGAAAGAAAAGAAATAAAAGGCATACAGACTGGAAAGGAAGTAATGAAATTGTCGCTGTTTGCAGATGACATGATCTTATCAAAATCAACATACAAAAATCAGTAGCACTTCTATACACTAATGAACTATCCAAAAAAGATAAGAAAATAATCCCACTTACGACAGTATTAAAAATAATAAAATCATTAGGAGTAAATTTAACCAAGGAAGTGAAAGATATGGACATTGAAAACTATAAAACATTGATGAAAGAAATTGAAGACACAAATAAATGGAAACAAATCCTGTTTTTAATGCATAGGAAGAATTAATGTTGTTAAAATGTCCATACTACCCAAAGCAATCTGTAGAGTCAATGCAATCTCTATCGAAATTATAATGACATTTTTTACAGAAATAGGAAAATGCGATTTTTAAATTTGTATAGAACCACAAGAGTCCATATAGCCAAATAACCTTGAACCAAAAAGCACAAAGCTGTAGGCAGCACAGTACCTCATTCAAAATCTACTACATACCTATAGTGATCAAAGCATGATACTTGCATAAAAACAGACATACTTGCATAAAAATAGACCCATGGAACAGAAGAGAGAGCCCCCAAATAATTCCATATATTTATGGTGACTTGATCTTTGTCAAAGGTGCTAAGAACATATAACAGGAAAAGGACAATCTCTTCAATAAATGATTCTAGAATGAATGAAATTAGACCCTCATCTCACATCATATGCAGAAATCAACTCAAAATAGATAAGACCAGAAACTGTAAAAATACTAGAAGAAAACATAGGGAAAAAAACTTCTTGACATTGGTTTGGACAAAGATTTTTAGGATATGATACCCAAAGCATAGCAACAAAAGCAAAACTAGAAAAGTGGGCTTATATCAAACTAAAAAGCTTCTGCAAAGCAAAGGAAACAATCAACAGAGTGAAGAGACAACCTATGGAATGGGGGAAATAGTTGGAAACCATACATCCTATTATATAAGGGGTTAATATCCAAAATATATAAGGAACTCAAATAGCTCAACAGTAAGAAGACAAATAATCCAGGTAAACTGTAGGCAAAGGACCTCAATAGACATTTCTCAAAACAACATATACAAATGGTCAATAGGTATTTGAAAAAATGCTCAATATCACTAATCAGGGAAATGCTAATTAAACCCACAGTAAAATATCTCCTCATACCTATTAGAATAGCTATTATAAAAAAGACAAAAGGTGTGTCAGGAGGATGT